GGTTCGGAATCCCACCGTGGCCGGGCATGTTTTTCAAGCTTGCCCGGTGTGGATATGCACTCAGAGTAACATCGCAAACATATTATTCACCTGAGTACACAACACCACCACAGAAAAATTCATATTACTAGAACACATTGGTATTGAAGGAACTAGATACTGTTCCGAAATATCACTTACTCGAACTGTCCTGACCGCGTAGCTCAGTTGGAAGAGCATTGGGCTAGTATTCCAAAGGTCGTAGGTTCGAATCCCACCGTGGCCGGGCATTTTTCAAGCTCGCCCGGTGTGGATATGCACTCAGAGTAACATCACAAACATAAGATACTCTTAGTTTATAAAGTAGCCTAGTAAAAGGATTGCTTAGAAGTTTGTAAAAGGTCTAAATTTTGTTACTTTTTATGACGATGGTCTTGGAGATTTTTTGCTAAAGTTCCTCCAAAAATGCAGGAAATGGCGTTTAAGGTAATAGAAAATTGAACATTTTCCTTGGGGGTTTTATTGATGATTTAGCCCCCCCCCCCCACTCTCTAATACGCTCCGCGGGCCCTGGTGCATTCCGCTGGAGAAAAATTTGATTTCCGTGGTCGTTTAATTACATCAGTGGACGCCGACATGGTGAGAAAGTTTCTGATTACTTTTTTTAAAGATTTATGAAGACATATTCGTCATTTTGCATAGCAACACATAGCAACGAGCTTAGGATGGATAGTTATCCGACGGATAGCTATCCACACTGCTATTCATGCTTCGTACAACGCATTTTTATCCAACGAATAACTATCCATTGGATAGGAGACTTATCCATTGGATAGGACTTATCCACTGGATAACTTATCCACCTTTCGTACAACCGGCCCCTGTTGTTTAGTAATACATTTCACATCCGTAAGTACAATTTCTTACGCTGAATCGAACGGTGGTATTTTATCCTTTATATTGGGCCATCACTGAGGCATTACACATACAATTCATATTTCACGCCATAGAAAACAGTTGCAATTCGTTGAAAATCTTAACGAAATTGTTTGAAAGGAGAAAAGTGCATGCCGAAACCTATACTCGCCCGGGCACAGTGCTCCAGCGAGTATTATCGCTCTTTCTAAGTTCCATAGAATTTTAGTCTCGAAACATTTCGCTAAATATCCATTGCAAAAATTTTTGGACATGTTAATATTGCCTTGTATGTTCGAAGATGGGTGTTTATTCTATATGCTGGCGAATTCTTCCCGAGAACAAAGCAATTTAGAGGGGATATTTTTCGACTGTTGAAGTGTTCGTGTCACC